ACGCCTCGTCAGGGGCGGGCGCCGCCGTCCGATCTCCCGTCGCCGTCGATGAGGTCGTACACGAAGACAGACAAGCCCGACCGATCTGACAGCGGCAATGTAGCGGCGGAGGAGTATCTCGGATTGCGGTGGTTCTTGCCATTGATGGCTCTCGGTATCTTCGTTACATGAGCGCAAGTTCGAACATCGTCCATGACTGCGACGAGGTGTTCAACTACTGGGAGCCTCTCCACTATCTTCTTTACAAATCAGGCTTTCAGACATGAGAATACAGGTCCGGCGTCTATATGTTTACTATACATGTTGTATAATTTGCGTAGTGGCGGGTCACTGAAATGGCGATTCTGTGTGTCCATGTGCGTGCCAATGATTGTTGCCTCCAGGAGTAGCTTTTTGAGTGAAAATTGGGAAACCAATGGAAATGCAAGCTTCTCTGATTGTGTTTTGGAGTCAGATACGTGAGGTGAAGTTGTATGAGTGTAGGTGGATATATAACTTTGGTGGATGCGACTTTCCTTTCCGAGCTTTCTTTTGAGATTGTAGCTGAAGTAATATTCTTACGCTGTAGGTCCTTCAAACCTGAATGTTTCTTACAATCTTCATGCATATTTCGTATTTGATAGCTTCACTTCTGCTCACTTGAATACTGTCTTGTGGTTCATTCTCATGTATAGAGATGTTAATAGCCGGAAAGATGGGTATCTGCTGAAATGTTTTGGAAGTATAGATAGAGGATCGATCGTTCTTGTTTGTTGCGCAGTTCCCAGTTTGCTCTCCGATCATATTTATACCTTATTTTCCATGAACTTGTTGGTTGACCTGCTTCTTGGTGGTTTGGTGACAAGAAGGTTAGCATTCCGCGCTTCCTGAATTATTTTCTGTCTGATTATTGCGTAACTTGGGATAACCTTTTTATCTGCTTTTGTGTATCATGTGAAAAAGTTAGAGTTTTCTATGCAGTGAGACCCTTTCTCGGTCTGGTTTCCGCTGTCTCAGAAACTGTTCTTGTAGTTGCACTTTCCAGAAAGTATGGGAAACATCTTGCTTCATACGCGCTTGCAATGCTTTGTCTTACTAGTGGTTGCTTCTTTGCTAGCACCAGTAAGTGCTCTGTTTAAGTCTGATTTGTGGTTTTGTTTGAGCCCTTTTTCTTTGTACTTTCAAAGGATCGGTTATCGGGTTTCGCAGAGAATTCTTTCATTCTTTGTGGTTACTTTGACGGGATGAATTGCTTCGTTGTTTTATTTTCCCTGTTTAAACTTAGAGTTATGTATTCATTTTTACTAATTAATGTTGCCTTGGGATTGGCCAGGTTTCCTCCCTAGTTCATTTTCTATGTATGCCCTTAGTCTCTCATCCGGATTGTTTCTTCTCGAGAAACACGCAATGGCTGTTGCAGTTGCAGTTGCAGCTGTTGGGGTGATTTTGGGCTGGCCATTTTCCATCCTGGCCTTTTTGCCCATCACGATTTATTCTTTGGTTAAACGATTCAAGCGAGCATTTATCTCTGGTGCTATCACCTCTGTTTTTCTTCTCGTAAGACAATCTCGAGCCTAGTTTCAGCTTGCTTTCTAACTTTTGATACTCTTCTAATAGTTTGTCATTTTCTACTAGGGACTCCCAATACTCGTGGATTTCTCTTATTACCAGAGATGGACATCGTCAATTATGAATCTGTTGATATACAATGTCTTAGGAGGCGGAGAGAGCCAACCATCTCTACGGGACTGAAGGGCCGTCATTTTATCTGAGAAATGGATTTAACAACTTCAACTTTTGTTTCGTTTTGGCGATATTGTTTGTTACTATATATCCTGTTTTCAGGAGAAAGTATGTTATCTGCTGGTTATAATCTCGCCTACGTATATCTGGGTGGCATTCATGTCACTTCAGCCACACAAAGAAGGAAGGTAATCTTCTATATCTCGCATCTTGAAGTCGTTGAATGAAATAATTGCCACTTGACTTCTAGATCTAGACCAACTTCTTCACCATATCTTTCTCATCCTGATATAGCCAACTATGTTTCAATTGTGAATCTGTTGCTGCAGGTTCTTTTATCCCGTGTACCCTCTTATATGTGTCTCTGCTTCTGCTGTTATCGAGAACATTCCAGAACTATTCCGGGAAAAGTATAGCAGGCATGATAGCCTGCTTGTTACGGTGAGTTCTATCTTACCCCTGATGCTTGGCTTAAACATCTTTCTTTTGATAAGTACAGAAAGAAGTGTTGATGGTAAGATTCTCGTATTTCTTTTAACATGCAGATAGCCAAATACCTCCGGCCTGTGGTCCTGGGCCTTATATTATGTGCATCACGTGCCCGAACATTTTCTCTGATTAATGTCTACTCTGCTCCATTGGAGATTTACAAGCTATTTGAGCACTGCGATGATGTAGAACCAGGTACATATCATCCAGGATCACTTGCTTCATTCATTTCACACCTGATCTCGTTTATCATTTACCTCATTAAGCTCCTCTTACCTGGTAACAAGATACATTGAACTTTTTGGTCTGGACAAGAAAATAAGAGTACACTTTATCAAAGTTCTCTGTAACATTGAATGGTTATTGTTGGTTTTGGTGTTTTGTAGGTTCTGTCCTGTGTGTGGGAAGTGAATGGCACCGATACCCGTCATCATTTTTCGTCCCTGATTTTGTGGGTGAAGTAAGATTGATGATGATGGTTTCCGGGGTCTTCTTCCATTCCCTTTTAACGATACACTAGGAGGAACTGCATCATCCCCTCCATACTTTAACAACAAGAATCAGGCATCAGATGAACAATACGTAACACAGCCTTCTTCCCCCCCCCCCCCCCC